TAAATAAATAAAATGAAAAAAAAATCAAATAATAATATATATACATACATATACACATATACATAAAAATAATAAAATAAATATACATGGGTAAAATACGCAGTAGCCAACATGAGCAGAAGATACCACAAGCTATAAAAAGGAAGGATAAAGGATTAAGATTTTAAGAATTATGCCCACCAGACAGAAAATGCGCAAAAACTCTAGATTTGAATGAGTAGAGCGACTGTGAACGTCTGATATCTTCGGGCAAAGAATTCCACAATCGAGTCGCGTGTAACGTAAACGATTGACTGTAGAATTTTGATCGGTTTTGAGGAATCGAGAGGCGAAGACTGTCTGATGAACGAAGAGGTAGGTCATGAGTGGACGATAAAAACTTGAAACGTTGTTTTAGATAAAAGGGGCATTTTGGATTGAACAACACAGAGTAAAGAAGGGACAGGATATGTAAATCTCTATGTTGCCGAATAGAGAGCCATTGGAGTTGTTGGCGAAATTCGGAGACATGATCGTATTTACGGAGCCCGAAAATAAATCGGATGGCAAGGTTTTGGAGGCGCTCCAGTTTACCAAAAAGATCAAAAGTAAGATCAGGATAGCACGCATCGGCGTAATCAAGGACAGGCAAAAGAAGGGATTGCGCTATAGATATTTTGGTAGCAGTGGGTAAAAAGTTCCGTAAACGCCTAAGGGACCTGGCTGTAGCAAATATCTTTCTGCTGACTTCGGCAATCTGTGGACGCCATGAGAGCGTTTGGTCAAATAAAACTCCAAGGTTACGCACTATATTTGAAAAAGGAATCGGAGTACCCTCAAAGATCACCGATTGCAACTGACTCCACTTTATCCTATCCACGAAAGAGGCACTACCTATGATGATAGTTTGAGTTTTATCGGTGTTCACTTTTAAACCGAAAGATTTACTCCAGGTAGCAATACGTTCTAAATCGGTGTTTATAGTAAGGATTGCGTTATTTATATGGTCCAGTCGTTCCATGGAATAAATTTGAAGATCATCTGCATACAGGTGGAAGGAAGAAGTAAGTTTGTGAGTAATCGAATTAATAAAAATTGCGAATAATAAAGGAGATAGCACACCGCCTTGGGGTACGCCGGCAGACACCAAACACCATGATGAAAGAGATTCATCAAAACGTATGCGCTGTCGGCACCCATGTAGATAACTACGAAACCAGTCAGTTACCGTTGGAGATATGTTTAAAGAACCGAGGATAGCTTTTTTGTGTCTGGAATTAGTAATTCTAGTGGCCAATTTTTTCTATGAATTAGCATCAGTTCTTCATTATTTATATTATTAAATAACTAAAGAAACGAAGAAATTACCCGCGATACATATGAACTGACCATTACAAGAATGAAGAGTATACTTATATATAATCAATTCTGATATAACTTCTACACATTCTAAATAGAAGATTATTGTAATGTTACTAGCACTTAGAGCAACTTCTAAAAACGTCTTCTTCCGGTCATAAACATCATTTCTTGTATGAGTTATTTAGTATTGCAATACTATGTAATGTGTGGTCAATGTCTTAATTTATTTTTTCGACATTTCAGTGTAAAGATGTCTTATGGAACGTTATTCAGTTGATTTTATTACATTATTACTTCATTAGGATCATATAACGAAGTCCACGATGTCATTTGATTATATTAGTTTACGAGGGTCAAACTGAAAGTTCTTAGAAAATCAAAAACTGATTACATTAGCCAGTTATTAGTTTTATTATATCTTTTCAAAATATTGTCCATTCACGTCAATACACAGCTGCATGCGATGGAACCACTGGGAAAAGCACTTTGCCCACTCGTCCTTAGGGGTCTCTTCAATGGCATCGCGATACGCAGCCACCGCTTCTTCAGCATTCATAAACCGCTTTCCTTTAAGTTTTTCTTTAATTTTTGGAAATAAATAAAAATCACAAGGCGCGAGGTCGGGGCTATACGGCGGGTGACCCAGTAATTCAACGTTTGATGTCGCCAAATAGTCGATCGTTCGCTTGGCGGTGTGCGACGAGGCGTTGTCGTGGTGAAGGAGGATCCTACTGCGAGGTCGTTTCTCTCGAACTTTTTCCAAGACAAGTGGCAAACAATTGGTAGTGTACCATTCTGCAGAAACTGTTTTTTGATCCTCTAACACAATTGTTGCAAAATGACCTATCCTTCCAAAGAACGAGGCCACCATTTTTTTTCCCGCACTTCGATCTCTCTTCACTTTAGTTGGCAACTCCTCGAAAGGAAACACCCACTGAGCAGATTGTCTTTTGGTTTTAGGATCATAACAGTAAATCCAGCTTTCGTCACCTGTTAGTATGTCGAACACAGCATTTGAGTCACCTCCGTTAAATCTTTCAATCATTTTACGACACCAATCCACACGATGGAGTTTTTGAGCCTCAGTCAAATTATGAGGTATCCACCGGGCGCAAAGCTTCCTGACCGCTAAATGTTCGTGGAGGATTTTGTGCACTTGACTCATACCGATGCCTAAGCTTGTCCGAATCTGTTGATAGGTCACTCTTTTGTCAGTCTCTATCATACGCCGCACAACACAGATGTTATTTTCAGTAGTCGCCGTAGAAGGCCGTCCCTCACGTAAATCATCAGTGAGATTAGTGCGACCACGTTTAAACTCATTAAACCAGTTGTAAACAGTCGCACGAGATGGGGCTTCATCGTGAAAGGCCAATCGTAGTCTATCATAACTTTCTTGTTGACTTAAATGACATCGAAAGTCATAAAAAATCATTGCACGAAAATTTTCTCGTGTTAAATTCATGATGACGTGACACAGACAATTTTCAATTTGCCGCCAAATCGTAAAACAAATGACAAATGAATGAAATATATACTCAGTAATATTGGCAAAGAGTTATATTTTCAAATTTTAGTATTATTTTTTTATTATATTGTTTATAAGTGGCCAGTTCTAAGAACTTTCAGTTTGACCCTCGTATTAACTCTGAGAATGATTTAGGCATATGAAAGAGACTTAGCTGCTTAATTACGCAAAACCGTAGAATCCGAAGCTCTAAAACATTTGCCGTTGTCATTAATCTTAATAAATCTTTGGTAGATTTATTTTATTTTACTTATATTATGTATTTATACCACAATTTTTTTGTGCCGAGATAATGGGATATTTTGTACAATATTACTTCGCAGCGCGGCTCACATTACGCTCCATGGCACAGTTGAGTTGATAGCTTCGAAAGCTGCCAATGTGCTGTCATTTCAACTGTCTGTCAAATTCTGCCAATTCGCATCGCGAGCTACTGCTCTAACACATTTTACACAATCACAGTGAAGCAAAATAAGGGTTAAGATTTAAACCATCCTAATGTATTCTGAAGTAAGCACGATTAATTAATGATTATACATAAACGCTAGATATGTCTGCCATTATTGTCTAAGCTGTGTTGACAACGTGATAAATTAATCACTTTATCTAAAATTTATTCATAATATATACTAGAGGTTCGCGAAAGTAGTGAATACATATTGAAACTAATAAGGAAAAAGATTAAAGTACCGTACCTTTTATTAGTATAATAAAAAGATTAAGCTTTTAATTGCAATAAAAAAAAAACTGACTGTCTTTAATCAAATTCAATAGATAATATTCGGTTTGATGGTGGCAGGAATAACCTAACCTAATCGTTTCTGTTTAATTGACTTTTTGTTAAAATATGCAAGTATTATAAATCAATGCTTATGTGTTTTTGTTTCACGTTGTTTTACCAACAATTCTAAGGATATCGAGAGCGATAATCATTACTATTGTATAATCATATTCATTATTGATTTTATTGGATCCGGAGAATCGTTTTGCATAGAGTAAACAATATGCACATACATCCAGTCCAATGTGAACATACGAAAGGCTGCCAATGAGAAACATCTAGAAGACAGAAAGTCGTAACCAATTTCATATTAAATAATGACGTCATGTGTCATTAACGTCTTATTAGCAAAGTTTGAAAACTGGATAACTGAAAGTAGGACACCATGGCATAACATTGGTTACTATGTTCAACTCATCTTCAATTAAAAAATATATTTATATTTACTCGTTTTGTAATGATTATAATTTTATATGACACATTTATTCAGTTTTTTTCAGCGTAACTGCGTAGAATATGTCATGTTGCCCACATCTAATAGTGATACAGTTCTAAAAATATAATGCAGTTATCATTCAGCTTTATTCTTTTGTAAATATATATCAGTGATTAGTTCTTGTTACAAAGATGCTTACTTTCATTATATCAGCAAATAGTAATAAATTAAGATCATTTGTTATACTCCCGTTATATGTGAAGACAACGCGCCAATTACCGTTAAAAATTATCTTATGTGCAAATAAACTATTTGCATAGAGATTATGATAGTGATATTTTACGCAGTTAGCTTTAATTTGTATTTATGTTACATTAATAATGTTTAATATTAGAACAATTTCATAGTAATACTTTATCAATTACATAGTAAGTAGCACAGAACACAGAAAACGTCTTTGTGTGTTCTGTGGTAAGTAGGTGGTAGCATATTGTAGATCGACGCTGGAAAGCAAATACGTAATTATCTGCTAAGTCAGAATTGCTTTTAAAAACAGAATATTTTTTTTTATTTAAAACTAATTTCTTATGATCATGATAACAAATTTTTGATTTGCTAGTTTGGACTTGTTTAAAAAGTCTTTTAACCACAATTAAGTTTCAAGGTCTACTTGAAATTAATATACAAATGATAAAAATATTTTGTTTGCAAGGACTAAAAAGTATAAAATGACACTAAAAAACACGCTTTTATAAGTGCACGTAAAAGCCAAAAACAAATTATGGATCATTCAACTTGTCTCTATTTCTGGGCTGAAGTATAAACTATGCGCTTTTAATAATAATATTTGATTATTGAAGCGTGGGGCGCTAGAACAGGAAAGACTTTTTTATATAACTTGCTGAGAAGTCAAGTTAGGCGTTGTTACAGGAAGGTGCTCTAACTGAAGTTGCAGCACGACTCGTAGATGGCTCTATATTAAACAGACTGTTTAAATTATCAGTTTTTCGAATTCAGACAAAACATACGCCAGCAGCGAGGAGACACAACATTTACCGACATTTTGAACACCCTATTCTTTTTCTTTACAACAATTTGTTAGATAAGTTAGTTGTACATATAGAACTTCAAATAAAAAACATTTATTGATTACCTAATATAAAGATGGATGGATGTTAATATAAACTATATATTTATAAAGTATGTTAATATAAAGTATGGAGTAGCTCGGTAACGTAGTGGATCGGTAGTACCGCGGCCAGCGATCGTTGTTGTTAAGCAAATTTCGCAAGTGTCAGTCACAGGATGGGTGACCAATAAATTATTATCTTGAGTTACTACTTGCTTCGGAAGGCAAGTTAAGCCCTTGGTCCCGGCTGTATGTGGGGTTGTAAAAATCCTTCAAATAAACATTGGGCCAGCGTGAAGGGTCATGGCCCATCCTCCTTTACCATCCGTAAGTAAAGTTTGAGTCCTTGCAGTGGGGACTTAGAAGGGATGATGATAAATATACGATAGTAACGGTCAATGATATTACAATAAAAAAGAGTAGATAGGTCATATCAGTGCTAATATAAAGTCAAAAATTGTCCTCAGCAAATATACACGCACATGGCACGATACTCTCCAATTATTTACCTAAACAACTTCGATCAACAGTTCAACTTAAAAATTTTGATATCTAACGTTATTATTTCAGTTTATAAATAATGAAGCTATTCAAGCGCTAAAATACTCCTGACATTAACACGAGGGCTTCGACCGAAATCGGAATCGAAGTATTTTTAGCTCCGGAGTTAGGTTTCGGTGCTTCGAATTCAAAACCCCGAGTTTCGGAGTTTCAGTCTCATATAGATTTTCAAATAAATGTAAGGTAGAGCGTAGGCACTAAAGTCGAATTGTCCGTTTTGTTACTTACATAATCTTTGACAGATATTTTTCACAATTTGTAACCGGAGTATTTACTCTTTCTTTTTATGACACATTATTTATTTTACTGATTAAAAAGCAAATCAATAAAAAATTTATACTTACGAATGGAATGTGACCTTGGTCTTTAGATGATTTATTTATGTTGTTTCTACAGTTTCGCATAATACAGGACGGTATTTTTAAAATTCTTATGGTACATAAATGCACACAACGCCAGACTGGGCTCAGGTATTCAAGTAACCTATCTACCCTTTTTTATTCTACTATCATTGGTAACGGTAGACACACATATTATATTAAATATTATTTTGTTATTATTTAAAGTGATTTTATTTATGTGGTCCAACTGTCTCTAATATAAAAAATCTCTCTAATCTAATGCAATCATTTACGCTCAGCCATGATGAGTCACTGAATCAAGACAAGCTCTTTTATACGTACTTAAAGGTTTTATTTCATATACATTTTTAAAATCTGATATAAATATGAATCTAAAAGGAGATAAATAATTTATTTGACAGTAAGCTACAGTGTTATACATACATATATTATTACCGTCAAAGTTAATAGATTATTCTGTAATAATTTATTTTGACAAGATTATCACTAGAACTGAATGAATAAATAATGAAGGTTGCGATACTTTAATAATTTCTTTAAAAAAATAACTTTTTTGTTGTTGTTGAATTATAAAATTATATTAAAATCTATTATGAATTATGGTTAAATTATCTTTGCAAAAAAACCTTCATTAAATATATATAATACCTTCTTTGTGCCATAAATGAGCGCATGAAAATAAGACATACATTTATCTTTGTTGTTGAGGTGTTAAGTAACTATAAAATGTATGTATTTAAATCAGTACCTATGTCGTAAATAGCTTCAAATAAAGGCAAAAACTATATTTTGATTTGAGGATAATTAAATCATATCCCAGTATTTTTAAAGAATCAACTCAAAATAAGTTTGATCTGTGATTTTTTATTAATAGAGTTTTTTTATGGAATAAATTCTTACTAAAGTAGGATTTTTAATAATTCAATCTCTGAGGGATTGAAGAGTTTGTATGGAGGTTTATCAGTATTGAGGTTAAAACATGAAATCATCTTTGGATTACTGCTTGAGCGAAGTACCTGTTCCAGTGTCTATGAAAAATGATTTGTGCATGGACGTGTCAAATGAAATTTTTAAGATATTTTCTTATTAATATCATAAAAGATACATTATTATAATACTTCGCGTATATGTATTGCATCGTCAAACAAAGATTTGTGTTTATGTTACCCTAAATTATATCAACAGTAGAACCGTTCTACTTTACTGACTGAATTTAAATAAAGAACATCCAAAATAAATACCAAATCAACAAAGAGTATTTTTACATAAATATATAAAAAGTATAATTTATGTACAAAAGGTTATTATTATCCACATTATCTAGAAAGATACGTTAATTAAATCTATACAGGATTTTAACTACAGCGCTTTGTTTAAAAAAATCTGAGTTGAACTCGATGTTAATCAAATTAAATTCTATTTTAAAAGGCCATAAAGGTTTTATTTCATCGAGGCTGTGTACGGTAAGTAATTTGAAAAAGAATAAGAATAATTTATTTACAAGAATGTGGTATAAAAGTAGGATCTAAATTTTATTACTTGTATAGAACACATTCACCCCGTTTGTGCATGTAAATTATAAATTTGTCAATAGCCAAAAGTAATGAAATTGAATTTGAAATATTCTCAAATTAATTTCTATCGATCCCATCAAGTTGTTTGATAAGGTTTAATGTACCATTATAAAATATTTAAGTTTATTTTATTTCACTTTTAAACATAAGTTTTTTTTACTTACACACACCGCCCCAACCGAAGTATCCGCCTGCACAAGTGACGAGATAACCACCGGCAAAAATAAGTAAACTTCGCACTGCTGGAGCATATGGGTCATTGTGATCCGGTATAAAGTCCGCTAAAACTCCCCACGATATACCAAGGCCAATGCCTAGGAATATTGCTAGAGCTGCCTGTCGACAAATAAATAAATAAATTTCTAGTGTTGTGTCCAAAAGGCCATCTCGAAATAAGGTATTGTTACAGCGTCGGTTATAAGTTCGCTAACCATTCCGATTTTTATTTTACTATATTAAACTTTATAATTCTTCATATTCAGTAAGTAAAGGTGTCAAAAACATATTCTTCTCCGAAAAAAACTTTAACTGTGCCGAAACATTCTCCTCCTCTGAAAATATTTGATAATAAAGAAGTTTTAAGTGTTTGCTTAACTATTTATATTGATTGTGGATAAGAAGTATAATAATTCAGGTTTAACATTAATAATTTATGAAGTCTAAGAAAAGGGATAGAGCTCAAATTTGTTGTTCTGTAAATCAATCAGTGTCGAAAACAACGTCGAGCACAAGAGTTTTTTTTTTCTAAATGTCGTTACTTCTTTTAGAGCTGGTAGTTTCTTTAGCTCGATCAATCAAAATACATAACTGAAGAAGTAGATGATAATAACAATTTAAAAATACTTAACCAAATTTATTTCACTAAAGATGTTTTTGACTTAGACAAAGAGATCACACCTTATAGATTCAGTAAAATAGCTAAATAAAATAGCACTGTGCGGCGCTGTGAACAACGCTGATTTTTTTACAGTACAGCAAAGCAGGCGGCACAAACGCTGCAGGTAATTCTAAGTGGAAAGCGTAAGTTTTAATATAACGAGTTCACTAGTGTGCGCGTTAAGAATTTATATGAAGATTTGTAGTTCTTGGTATTTACCGCCAGGGGCACTGTACCGGATTCCATACTAAAATCATAACGCGCTCACGATTTACGGTGAATATAAACATCAAAAAACTTACACCAAGCGATCAAATCTTAAAGAGTCAGTGTAATTTTTACTACTTTAGCAGCTAAATGCGAGTTCCCCGATTTTTGTTTGACCATCTCAAGAGCTCTTGGTTCTTTAATTGAATAGCTTTAGTAAATTTCGCTCTGGTCGGTGTTTGGTTGGATGTAGAACTTTATTAACCTGAGTTTTTCCAACTAAGCCACGTAGTTAGTTATAGCCCATTTTCACCAAGTATTTCTAATGGAATCCAAAAAGTTAATGGCCCAATAGTGGAGGATGTATAAAGGTGTTGTTGAAAATATGTAGGTTTAGTTCTGAATCTTTGATACGAATAAGGTTCAACGCTTATATTCTCACTTTATGAAAAACTAGCAGTTTTCTTGCGATTTCGTACGCGTATATTATAACATCAACCGCGTATAACGTAGCTAGCCGTAGGTGAACGAATATTAAAAATAGATCCAGGAGTCCAGGAACTTATTCGATGCAAACAAACAGTCAAATCTTTTCTCTTTATATTATTAGTATAGATAATAAGCTCGATGGCGCCGAGGTGAGCCCGGTTTTTTTGTGATACGGTCGATAACAAACTTTCGGTTGTTAAGAAATGGCTGGTCATATGATTAGTCACCGAAAATGTATTATCTCGAAATCCTCCGTGCTTTGAAAGGTACGTTAGGTCACTGGTCCCAGCTGCATCTGCAGCCGTTAACACCCACCAACACGCACTGAACCCGCGTAGTAGTGCATGGTGGGTCATGGCCCATTTTCCATATTCGATTCCATCTATAGGGAAGGCCCGAACCCCAGCAATGGCGACTAATAAAATAATAATCTAGTTTAATTCTAAACATCACAGTATTTTCAAAAATATATAAATCAGTATATGATAATTTATCAGTAATAATTCAATAAATTTTCGTAATAAAACTTACTTTTACTATTCTATAAGTTAACGAGGAAGGGTAGAAAATGGCACTATTTATTACACCGAACATGCCCTCGGTGAAGGCTGTGTCCAAACCCCCGGCATTGCCAACTAGGAGTGCTATCTGGTTCTTAGCTCCAAAACCGTGTGCATCCTGTGTCACTACAGTAGGTACCACTACAGCTGGTGACACCGACGCTAGTATAGCCCCTAAATGTAGACCTGTTAACATTAAAATTACTTCAGTACCTGCATGAAAGCAAATTAATGACACTTTCGCATACGATAGCTATCATCATCATTAGCTCCTTTATGTTCCTACTGCAGGGGCTCAGGCTTTGGATGGTTATGAAGGATGAGCCATTACCCTCCACGCTAGTGCAATGTGGTTTGGGGGCTATCAACGAGTGCAAACGCAGCCAGGACCAATGGCTTAACGTGTCTTCCGGAGGACGAAGTAGCCCGAGATAATTAATTTTGGTTATCTACTGATCTCGTGACCGACCCTTGTGAAAATTGTGTGACAACAACGATCGCGGGCCGTGGCGCTTATGCACTCTGCCACCGAGCTACTAGGGTAGCTATAATATTCTGTAATAAAATCGTATTCGACGTTGAGTTCAGCGCTGTTACTTAATTATAAGGTATTATATCTGAGGACCTATTATATTCGTCCTCAGACGAAAAGGAAAATTTCCATAGTTTTATAGTTTTGTAAAAATTTTATTCATGAAGATTATCTGTGCATCAGAGGCAGTGTCTGAAAAATTATGCGTTATTTTAAAGTTGGTATAGCATTTCTAAAACAGACGCAATTACGTTTTCTTAGAAATAGAATAGGCTTTCAGCAGAACTATTATAATGATCCACCTGTGTAGACCATCCGAGACCTACGTTCAGCTTTATAATTACACTACAAACGAATTTAAATAATAAAAAACTTCAACGGGAGTTTTTCGAATAACCGTCTATTTAGTCTTTCTTCAAAATCACGGTATGTTGAATAACTTTTTTGGTAAAGAATTAAACCATCTATGATAGTATACCTACATACACAATTGAGTTAATATAAAATAGAAAAATCTGTTAAAACGTCACGTTTTCGAGATATATTGTAACGCTATCATTCATATTGATATTATATCTTGAACACGTGTCACTTTAGAAATGTATTCTAATAAAAATGTATGTTATATAAAATAGATTCATACAGGTAAGTTATTGGAAAGGCGAACTTTCAAGAAATAATTTCCCGTTTCCTTAACTGTATTCTTGAGGCTGCAGTGAACCTGAAACGTACAATCGTACTCATCGAACGTAGCCTTACTTCTTTTTAATTTTGAAGACAGTTAAAAATATATGTAAATAAACAACTAAGGCCCATTAAAAAGATGTTTTCAAAATCCCTACTAACTTTGCGGGAATGAGTATTGCGAGGGAGGTTTAAGGGAACAGCCTCGGAACAAGCTCTCGGGAAGGTCAGGTGGAAGGTCCAAGCAGTACTCTTAACAAGAATCCTTCCTTCTGTGGACCAGCGGTACGGGGCTGACTGATACTTCAACCGCGCGCCGGCGAGACTAGCTCACGGGGACGGTTTTTTATTTTCCGCAGAGGACGACTTCACTCTTCCCCCATAAGGGGAATTCCAATGTGGATTGAGAACGGGCCGTCCCAGCACAATACCGGATTCGCCCATCCGCGTCCGTAGCGGGTTTTATTAAGCGGGCTTGTCACATTAGCCTGCCCTTTTCAGGGTGGGGTGAAAAGCCCTGATTTGAGACTTACAGTGCATTTCATTTGCAGGTTAGCATTAGGTATTTAGTATCGGTGAAAATCTGACGGAAAATGCGTTGTGTCCGAAACTATACGTTAGCACACAACGGACTTCCTCTTGAATGTACAATATCAAAACATATAATTAAAAAATCATCATAATGCTACATTGATATTTATATTATAGAAAAATACGTTGAGTCCAAGAGCGGTTTTAAATATTGCATGATAAGTTATAATCCCATCTTGGTACCCTGCTATGCTATACAAGACGCCTAGAAGTTGACGTTAAGTGCAGCACTGTAACAGTATAGGGTCCAATGAAAGATAAAAAAAATTTACCCGACTGCGCAACCCTAGGGAGGGTAATGTTTTTATCAGTCTATGCATGTATATATGTTTATTTCTATGTGGCATTCTAGAGACCAAATGTGTAGGCCGATTTTGATGACTCTTACGTCAATCGATTCGTCTTAACTTTGCGAGTGTAACTAAAGACATGATAGTAACAAAAATTCACCACACCGACAACCGATGGACTATGTCAAGTGGGGTGTCGTTGAATAGGTATTTTAAAATCATCTTTAGGTTCCTTTTATCATTTTTCATTTTAAACAATAGTTTGGCATATGTAATGATTTAAAGTTGTTTAACAAACGCTATTATCTCCTTCAATGAAATGACTAGATTACGAAATTTACCATCTTATAACGAAGTCAACGAACTAAAAAGAATAAAATAAAAATAAACAATTTAAAGAAAAACAAAAAACCTGACTGCGTCAAAACGAATTTAAAAAAAGACACGAAATAATTAACTTAAATAAAAATTAAAAAGAAGAAAACAAGCCCAGTAGTTTAGAATTCTTTTAAGTAATACTAAATGACTACATAATTGAAATAGTTTTATAATCGATACACACATAAGACAAAACATAATTTCTAATTCAGAACAGAACGACTCATAGTCGGGGCCCCTTGGGACGATTTGATTGGTAAAATTAAAAAATCTTTTTTATAAAAAAATCTACTGCACAAGGTCAGTAGGTTTTTTTATTACTAAGAATTACGTTATGATTTCAAGGCTGTGAGACCGTATTATTTCATAAGATTAATATCGTATAAATTAAATAAATAATTACCCCAGTACCACGGAAATCCTAGTAGAAGATGTGTCACAAAAGCAGTAGATAAACACTCGACGATCCATGGTAGGGTGGCCAATGAGAAAACTTTTATGGAATTACTTTTAATATATTCCCAGTTCCAACTTAGTGGACCTTTTGTTAGTATTATCACTGGATATATCCTTCTGTAAAGAAAACCTCTGTTGTAAGTTTTGCATAGGAAATCTAAAGTGCAACTATAAGTATTAGTACTTATAGTTGCACTTTGGAATAAGTACTAGGTAATCGAATTAATAAAGAAAATAGCTTTTGCCTACGATTGTGTCCGCTTGGTATAGTCACTTTGGCAACATATAAAATTTTTAGGATTCAAATTTTGTAATAAATATAGATGTGAATTGGTAAATTAAATTATTTATTTACCATTTATATGAACTTATTTCTCATAGATTGTCTAAATTTTATGGTTTTATCTTTAATAATGAAGAACTGTCATACAATCTTTCAATCCTTTTTTTCGCAATAAAAGGTAACCTTTTACAAGGTTGACTATATCTATGTACCAAACATAAAAATCGGTTCAATTATTAAGCGTGACAGCGTAATAGATAGACAGAGCAATAGAGCAACGTTTGGATTTAGGTTATTGATAGTTATGTAAACATTTACTAACTTTACCAATAGTGTGGAAATGGTCATAAAGTGGACCCATAGCGAACAGCACTAAAATACACAGGTAAACCTAACAACCTCAGGCAATTGCCACGCGAAGCAGCTTTATTTATTTGGCACTATATTATCATACCAAGCACAGTTATCTCTGAAGTGCATACTGTGTCGGTTCGGTATAGTTCGGCAACTGATGGTAAGTTAAGAGGGCAACACCCGTATTCACAAACATTACTGTGAGGTCCCACAGTGTGCGTAAATGCATAGAGTCACTAAAACCTATTCATAAACAATACTTGAGTGACGGTTGGCACTATGCATGACTTTTAGTGAACACATAGGTAAAGTAGCTTGTGAGCTGTTTTAAGCTACGCATAGTATCCAATTTATGACGTAAGTAAGATTATGTTTGTTTCTCAAGATTTCGTATGTTATTTAGTTTATTTTTTTTATATGTCCAGATGAATTTCAACGCCGCTATACGTTTTGTAAAAATGTAGTAAAAGTACTATATTTAAAAATGTAGTAAAATACTCTTACCGTTGATAAATAAAGATCTTAATAAACAAACTGCAAGAGATCTTTCAGTGTCACCCATTTATCAATTTCTAGTGGCATTAAGATTTTATTCTTCTGGTAGTTTGCAGGTTAATAATACCTACCTACTTACTTCACTATAAAACTATCATATTTTTTGTGAATTTTGCATTTTCAGTGCTATTTTTATGTTAATCTCTTAAATACCTTGTACCTGATTGTTTTTTTGATGATCGAGTTATGAGTTATTTGAACTCATTGGCTTTTATTTTACTTGATGAACGTAAATGCGTAGTTATGTCCTTAATTATTTATTATAAATCACCACAACATATATTTAAATTAACAAACTGGAAATGCTTTAGGTGATAATAAATTTTAACATGAAACGTCAGTCAGACAGAGCGTAGTGAATTTGCAACACAAACGGACCAATCACAGAGCTCTATCCGACGCAGCGCGTTCGCATAGTGAAGTGTCGTTTAAGTATTGTTTAGGAATTAAATGGTTTGGTATAAAGATCGCACTGAGAAATGCCTCAGTTCGCATAGTATTTGTACTTCACTTATATAAATATTGATTGTGAATACGGGTGTCAGGTTCGCATCAAGCTTTTACCGGATATTTTTTTTACGAACTAGCTGGGGAGTAGTCGAAGTTACTCCTTATTACATAAGCTATCTGCTAGTGAAAGTCTCGTCAAAATCGGTCCAGCCATTTCAGAGATTAGCCAGAACTACCAAACAGATAGAAAGACAAAAAGTGACATTTTGGTACATTATGCATATATGCATTTAGATAAAATTTATTTCAATATTACAAATAGTCACGCCAATTTTATTTATTGAAATATATAAAGATCACTAGCAAACTCACAGTTGATAGAGAAAAATGTTAATAGATGGAGTAGGTAGTTTCAAAAGTGTGCAAGAGCTTTCTAAAGCTCGATATTTCAGTATGTTGAATTAATAAGAACATCACCCGGAACCCAGTGCGGAGGTCCGGTGCTGAAATACCTGGTGGTGGTGACGCGAAACGATCTTCTGGCGATTGCAGCGATTGTTCAATTAAATGGAAATATGAGTATTTTTATGAACTACTTAATAATTTGGTAATAAATTAATTTA